AAAAACCTATGAGATACCACCGCATAGAGCAATACAAAAACCCATCAAAGCTTCAAAGTTGTAGAAAAGAAGCCCAACCTGCAGATCAGGAAGACCCCAAACCATCCTAAACGCCACACCTTCGGTCCTCAGACGAACACAAACGCAAATGAATACTAGAGCCAAGATGTAACCAAAAAGGTCAGGTGGTGTAAACACCATTCTAAAGAGATACCAAACCTTTGTAAGGGTGACAACATATAGTTATCTCTGACCAGAAGCAGCATACAAGAGATAAGATGAAATCCCCCAAAACAAGAGTGGAATTGGAGAACAGATTCGAAGTATTGGAGTTGTTTAAGAGAAGAATCCCAAAGTAAACCCCAATAACCCCTAATCTGATCCCAAAAACCCCCAAATCAAAGGAATAGTACCTTGAAACGTGGGCACAAAACCCAAAAACAGATTTCCATCCTTACCACCTCTAGATGGCTGGTTGCTCCACCGATCCAAGAAGAGGATCGGGGTGATCGCATTTATAGGGAGGGATAAAAACCCTGGAGATAGATCTCCAACCACATCAGGAACCTGGACCATAGCCAAGCGAGGAAGAAAGATGGAGGAGAATAACACGAAAATTGAAAGGGTAGCAGCCACCGGCCCCAAGCAGGAGCTGGAGGCCGGCGGCATAAGGGTTTCTGCTAGGGGTTTTTTTTTCGCTTTTGCTTTCTCATGCACAAATGTACTTAATAAGTTGATATCAAACTTTAAATCTTTAACACGATAATGTATAAAACCTTGAAGTAGAAGCAATAATATTAATATTTACATTTTGATCATTTCAGAAGAGGTAAAGCCCAAGTGCTTGCCCATCACCATCAATAACCAAAAAAAAAAAAAAACTATCATTGGGATCTTATTCGTACCAGACCTGGGTTCAGTTATGCAAAATATATCTAACTTAATTTAACGACTTAAAATTTAAACTAAGAGGCAAAATCAAGCTTGCCCCAGCCTTTGCAATTCCAAACTAAACACTTCATTAGTCCACGTGCTCAATATTACGACTCGTCCCAACTCTTCCCTTACCATCTTTTTGTTACTCACGAACTGCACCAGAACACTTGTTTCACAATCAACTTCCATAAAAACCTCATCATCTTCAACAACATTCTTCCCATTGTCTTCATGCTCACAACCAACACCACCATCAACAACACTAGTAGCCCCAGAATTTTTATCAGCAATAGGCATTCATCTCGAGACCAGATCAGCCCTGAAGACCCATGTTTTGTTTCCCCCACAATATTATCATAGTTTCTCCCATCTCTTCTTGCACTAACTCTGCCCATATTAGCATTCCTACTCATTGTACGGATCATAGTGGTCTATCCCTCAGTATTTTCCACTACCTAGGCATGCAAACTATTCCTCAACCTCAATAATTTCTCCTTCCCCAGACGCATTATCATCAACAAAAGCAGGTTGAGGAAAGAAAGCATGACACCATCATGTAGTTCCCTTATGGTATCCTTATTAATAACTGTCTCAGAAAAACAAATCAATGGCTCATCTTTAAAATTTTTGTTCACAAGAAAGCAGCCATCATTGTGTTAAATAGCAGGACATGAATGTCCCTCAACACTCCTTCTTTCATAGTAGCAACACATCACAAACATTTTCTCATAGCTTAACATAATAGGGCTATCATCATCATCATCATTAACCATTAGGACTCTCTGCAGAGACAACGTTAAGTCTACCTCCAAAAGGATTTTAACAAAAAAAGCCCATTCAGGCTAGAGAGAAAATTCTCTTCGGCCTTTATAAAATGCCCCACAAATGAGTTATCACCTTCAAGATCTTAGCATCCCTATAATAAACAGAGAGTCTACAAATTCTCACCCAAACCCTCAAATTGGAGATCATATCCACATCCCTGAAATGAGTACTCCACCTTTCCAAATGAAAACCTTGACCTCTCATATACCAGGGGCTGTTACCAACACATAGTACAATTATTCTTGATCAATGAACTCCACAGCATACCATCGATAGCTGAAGTGGTAAAGATAGAAAAGGTTTTTGACCCCCAGAGCTCAATGCAAGGCCAAACTCCCACTTAATTGTCCTAGCATCAAACTGTTTACCGACTAACTTACCCATTAGTACCCTACTCTGCATGTGTTCAACATTCAGGTTGAAATAGAGACTAGTGGAAACTCTAGTAACTCCATTTTCTAAGGTAAAGGTACCTCACTGTCTCTCAATAACCATTGGTGGTTGGCCAGGTTAGGGAGGGAATGAGACCCTTTCTGGATCCTCTTTGTGGGGATCCGAATGATCAATCAATCGTATCCGTTTATTATACATCGTGCGGTTATAAATTATTTTAAATTTTCAATTTAAAATTGAATATAAATAGTACTTAACGGTTGATCCCCGGATCCCCATAAAAAGGACCCCAAGAGGATCCTAAAGCGTTGGGGAATGGCAAATCTATAGGCCCAAGAAGGTAGTCTATGGCTAGTAGGAATTTTTGGTTGTCTGGCATAGGAGGCTTCAAGGGAGATGACTGTCATGGTTGTGTGGGAAGTAAAAAGCTTTAAAAAGGATTTGAGATAGGGTGAGGATGTAATCTCCCAAGACCTATAAATACTAGTACAAAAAGCAACCATCAACAAGAAAAAAACAGCTTGAATGTGAAACGCCATACATTGGAAAGTCCAAAGAAACCAGTAAACACCCTATAGTCTTGCCCACTCAACCAAATGATTATCAAAATAGTGGCTGGACATATCTTGAGAAATGAGAGATTTTTTAGTGTAACCGTCACACGAGATGTGTACATCATGTGTTTCTATATAAATGGTGGGTTATATGTGTTAAAAAGTTAATAACTTAAAAATTAAAATTTTCTACCACTTGCATAAAAATACGTGATATACCATCTGTGTTTCCGTCACAAATAAAAATTTCTCCTTGAGAAACGGTAAATGGTAAGAAAAATAACACATATCCTACCCCAAGAATATACGCACACAATGATTACTTTCATATCTCAACAAGTTAAACACAATAAGTGAACTGTTTATCATCTCAAAGTTAGTATACTTAAATTGATGTTTATTAGCCGCTCTTTGTCAATTATTTGCCCGCAATCCTTCCTTGGAAATCCATCCGGATTCCGGCATCTTTCAATAATTATTGCACATTTATCAATCAGTAATCAAATTGAGATAAATTGAATTAAAAAAGAATTGGAATAATGTGGAATTAGAATAAAATTCATGTTAAAGTTGTTTACTAAAACTGTATGGAATTGGAGTGCAAATGATGCATATTCTATATTAGCTGTTTACTAATTCACATGAATTAGAATCAAAAGCAGTTTGATTATTAAAATACCCTTTTACAAAACAGATATAAATTTTATTTAACTAATTAATAATACAATTCTTTTGTATATAAAAAACTAATACAATTATTTATCCTAAAAAAGCCTTTAATTACCATATAAGAAGCCTTTAATAATACAATTATTTTGTATATCAGTATATATGACATTAATACAATTATTTATCCTAAAAAAGCCTTTATTTACCATATAAAAATCCCTCATCGTATACCAATTCTATGAACGCCGTCAATTAAAAACAACGAAACTAACGCAGGCCCTCACCCTCCTCTCCTCGCCCTCTAAAATTCCCCATCTCCTTCCCTTATGGTTCTTCTTCTTCTCTTCTGATTATTCTTTCTTCTTCTTGTAAATAACTAATTAATTCCAAATATTTATTTATTTATTTATTATATTGGTACTCTGTCTTTGTCTCTCTCTTATGTTTGCTTCTTCACTAGGTTTTGATTTGAAACCTGAAGGTGCTGGGTGCTGTGCTACCAGAGATGAGGGAAGAAGATAAGGGTATATTGGGTAGAAAAAACTGATTCCGGGTTGAGGCTTTCTTTCGGAATCCAAATACCACATATTAGTTGGTAATCCGATTCCAAGCAAATCAAGGATTTGATTCCCTATTTTTGGTGGGCCCCACATACAATTTCATTCCCCCAATGTTAGTAAACACATGAATCACTTGGAATGAATGCAATTCCCATTCCTCTCACTCCATTCCCTTTACGTAAACACGCCCTTAAGCCACTTCATGACCCCCATGTATGGGAAATTGAATCGACCAAAAACAAGAGTTACTACTATCAAATTAGGTTGAATATGAATCCAGATCCTCTTCGGATTGTCTTTGTGAGGATCCCGAAAATTTGTAAATCGTGTCCATTCATTGTACATTGTGCAATTATAAATCATTTTAATTTTTTTATTTAAAATTGAATACAAATAATACCTGACGAAAACTGACTGCATAATATACGATAAACATATACGATTTATGGATTCCCGAAATCCTCATAAAGAGGATTTGGAGAGGACCCTATTGGGTCGATTACACCTAGAGCACCCTAGCTTTTCCAAACTTCTCAATTTCCCTTCGACTCCATTTCCAATCATGACACTTACTTGTATAAGCTCAATTGAAAATTACTCTAATTGCCCCCAAAACGCAATTCCTTAGTATCAAAAACCAAGTTATCCAACTAATTAACTTAATTGGGATCGAATTGTAAGATTCAAAATCCCCTGGACAAAACCCTAACCCTAGCTGCCCTCTTTTTCCCCTATCCTCATTCTCCGACAAAAAATAGTTAAGTTGATACAAGGATATTCTAAGAATTTTAGTGGGTGAGAAAGTTAAATTTTTTTTGGGAAGTGTTATTTGCACTTTAAAAATCTCATTATAAATTCTTTACAAGTATATTTTTCTTTTTAAATATATAAAGTTTGAAATGTAAATTGAGATTTTTAGAATATCAATAATAATATTTTTTTTTCCACCTTTTATGGGGGTGAAAATATATAGGATTGTGAGGTGGGTTTAGCGACTTTGTTTATTATTTTTTTATCTTTCTTTTGAAAATCTCCTTTTGCGCTAATAAGAGATAGGGCTGGCATCACAATCATACATCGCCGCTCGACTGACTTTTCCTCTTTTAGACAAAATCTGTCCGAAAATTGTCTGGGAGCTGAGCTACAAATCGATTCCACCGAGCCCTTCCCCAATTATTCCTAGGGTTTCTCTGAGCTCTCTCCATCGCCATCGACTTCAAGGTACGAAAACCAAGCTCAGATGCTTTCCTTTCAATGTCTTCAGCAGATCTAGGTTTTTTCCATTTCACAATCTTACTTTTGTTTTGTTCTGCTCGTTCACGCTAGGGTTTTGCAATAATTATCCTCTCCCTGACTAACTTTACTCAATTTTCTGTGTAATTAAGCTTCGTAATCATTTAATTAGTTGCTAAAGTCACAATTTTACACTTTTTATCTATGGAATTTTACTTCTGTTTTTCCATGTGGTACATTGGTGCTGTTTGGAGTTCGAAAGCTCACCAAGTGTTTGTAGAAATGCCGGTGACACAACTACTTACTTAATTGTCTACTTGTTGTATCTGGAAGGGTTGGAAAGTTTGAAGCTTGAAGAAATGAGGCCAATATTTTGCGGCAACTTGGATTTTGACGCGCGGCAGTCAGATGTTGAGCGGCTTTTCAAGCGATATGGGAAAGTCGAGAGGGTGGATATTAAGTCTGGTAAATAAGTTCTTTGGTTAAATAATTAAACTTTCGCTGTGTTTTCGTAACGGTTTGTTTTGGTTCTTTATCGAGATTACTAGTTTTGTTGACTGTTGGTAGCATAGTGGTTGTGTTGTGTTGTTTCGTTTACTTTTTTTTTTTTGCATATGAATTTAGTGGCCAAACTTAAAGCCTTGTAGTTGTTTTAAGCTATTGTGGATTTTAGAGCTATATTATCTGATTTCTACTTTTGGTTCCAAGGTTATGTTCAAAAGTTTCGTTATGTTTATTGTGATGAAATCTGAAGTGGGTCATTACTGAATCATCCTGCTGGGATATGGTCTTTATAGTTAGTGCAGATTGGGGTTTGAGCACCTTCAATTTATCCCTATGAGATGGTAGGGATTTCGGGTAGAGAAAAAATAAATATGTGTTTTCGGGGTTTATCAGCAAGTCCTACAGCAGCAGAGTTATTTAATGTGGGACTTATACCACCGTGCAAATGTGACAGCTGCTACTTCCATGATTTTCTGCTGTGTGTGTGTGAAAGACTATTCTGGCTTTATTTGCCTCCTGGTATGTCTAGAAAGGAATATGTGGTGTACAACCTGAAAAATGAAAAATGATTATTTTAAGATTGGCTCATTGAACCTTTTTGTATAGCAGCAAATACATGGATAAAACATGAAGTCTGGTTTTCTTCCTTGGCCCTTTTTCCATTTCTTTTCAAAATCTTGATATGCAGAAATTCCCTCTCTGTAAATTGAAAATGCATGAGAGATATGTCTTTATGGAAAAACTAGGATGAGATTGCAGTGCATTCATGCACATGACATCTCCTTCATGCTGAGAACTGAGAAGCTTGAGCTCTTTCACTGGGCTGTTTGGTTGGAGTAAATTCTAAAAAGGAAATGTTTGCGAAGGAAAGATTTCAGCTGTTACTCAAAAGGGCAATATGTTATTCATTAGAATATTATTTGGATGGGTGTACTCGCTATTTTCCCTTTCAGAGAAACAGGTTACTTTTTTATTGCAGTGCAAACCCCTGTACTCAAGAATTTCTTTGGCGCAGGATTACTTGGAATGTCTATGGTCTTCTTGGATGGGTCCGCTTATCTACATTTCTTTTGTAGCATGTGCCCAAGCATCACTTATTGTATTTTTCCAGAAGAATTAATCTGATCTGCCTTAGTCCTGCCATCATACTTTCCTTCAGACACCATTGCTTTTTCATTCATCATGACTTTTGCTCCACTCCATGTTCAATTTCCGACATGTTCCAACATAGATTCCATGATGATATCGCACTCACTGGCAGGTTTTGTGTTACTTCCTACCAGATGATTTTGTATGCATATAATTTGTTTAGTGTATGAGACGTCAAAATTTCCTTATATTTTAGATGTATGCCTAACAAACTTGCATTAAAAAGTATGTTTTGGTGACTTTGTTGTACAGTCTGTGGTTACTTCACACGGTGGTTTTAATAGATTGCTTCCATATATATATATATATATATATATATTGGTTTAAATAGGATTTGCTTTCGTCTATATGGATGACGAACGAGATGCTGAGTATGCAATTCGAAGACTTGACAGGACAGAATTTGGTAGGAAGGGACGCCGACTTCGTATTGAGTGGACCAAGGTAAAGTTGAACATGTGGTTGGGTTTCAGAAAAATGATTTAGGATTTTATGGTCAGTTGCATAGCATACTTATGAGAATGCTGGCATTGCACATAGCACAATCCCTATCGCATACAAGTATAATACTAGAATTTGACTTTTCTGTCTAGCATGTGACTTCTTACTTAACCTGTACCTTTACATATTTTTTAGTATTGTGATTGTGTCAATCAAAGCCATATCTTCTACTCCCCTTCATTTTCTAAGTTCATGCATGCAAATGGTACATATGTTGTAACTGCTTCATGTTTCTTTACACTTCTTTCAATTATATAAATTCATACTACATGTGATAAAATGGATAAACTATAAGTGATGAGCTTTACTTGATTATTTTCTTGGACTTTTTTTGCTCATTTCGTTACACTATTCTGTGTTGAAGCATGAAAGAGGGATTAGGAGACCTGATTCAAGAAGACCTTCTGCTAACATGAAGCCCTCAAAAACCTTGTTTGTTATCAACTTTGATCCAGTCCATACCAGGACAAAGGATCTGGAGAGGCACTTTGATCCCTACGGGAAAATAACGAACATAAGGATTAGAAGGAATTTTGCTTTCATTCAATATGAATCACAGGAGGATGCTACCAAAGCTCTGGAGGCAACAAATACAAGGTTCTGTTTTCCTTGACAACTTGTATAGTGCTGTTTGCTTGATTTACACGTTCAGATATTTTTTTCCTTTGGACAAATTGTTTGGAAGTGAATTCAAAGGGAGAATGGCCCCTCAATTTCAAGCCATCATTGCAACAGAAAAATTCTGTAAAAAATTTTACTTCAAAAAGCCGCTAATGCTTGTAATGAAAATTAAATGCACTGATTTGGTTTGTCATGAAAAAAGGTCTTAAACGAAAAGTGAAATATTCAATGGCTTTATTGTGCAAAAGACTATGTCTGAATCCATCTCTACCAGCGTTCTAAAAACCTAGTTTTAGGACTCGCCTGGGCTGTTTTTGGGTCTGGGCTATGAAGAAAACGCCTCTGCCCAGTGGGTGTGGGCTACAGACTAGCCTAAACGCATAGGTGACCTGGGCATTTGAATTTTTTATTAAAAAAAAAAAGGCAGCCCAAACCCAATAAGACGACGTTATTGGCAGGGTTTTATAAAATTCATGCTAATTTTATGTTCCTAACTTAGTTTCTATTAGTTTGTTATGACTTTATGATGTGAATCAGAAGTAATAATAATAGTCAAATATTTGATTGCTTGGCATGCTTGCTTGATTAGGCTAACACGCCTCTACAATTACAACTGCTTTATACTAACTTTAGTGAACTTATTTTTGAAATACAGCAAGTTCATGGACAGGGTTATTTCTGTGGAATATGCTGCTCGTGATGATGATGATGATAAAAGAAATGGGCACAGTCCTGACAGGAGGGGCCGTGATATGTCTCCTGAGAGAAGAAGCAATGATCGTGGGCGATCTCCAAGTCCATACCGCAGAGATAGGGGAAGCCCTGATTATGGCCATGGTGCCCGAGTAAGTTCTAGAACTGAATCAAGAAGAAGTCCTGATTATGAGAGAGCTGCAAGCCCAGTCAATGATAGATCCCGTCCAAGTTCTAGACCTGGACCTAGAAGAAGTCCCGATTATGAGAGATCTGCAAGCCCAGTCAATGATAGATCCCATCCAAGTTCTAGACCTGAACTAAGAAGAAGTCCCAGTGATGAGGGAGCTATAAGCCCCGTCAATGATGAATACCGCAGGTTTGTTAAGATCGCAACTTTTAGTTCTCGATTGTATGAGATGTTATTATCCTTTAAGAGGTGCGGGGGTGTTCTAATGCATTAATGAAATCATGTTTAACCATGTGTTTAAATCCTAGAGGACACCGTCACAATCCATCTCTTTTAACATGGATTATTTCCTTTGCATGATTTGTCAAGATTGTATTTTAATGTTAACATACACACAAACTAGCACCATTCTGAGTATATTTTTGTTGTTGATATTGCAGCCGTTCTCCCCCACCGCGGGAAAGATCTCGTTCCTGAGAACCAGCCAGATATGCAACCTCCTTGTAGTGGTTAGCTGGTGTATTATTTAATCTATAGTTGACATTCCGAAGTTGGTTATTCCCTCTTTATTAGTATTCAGATACATGATCAGTTTGAACTTGAACATGTTTTCAAAGTGGTGAATTCGAAGTTTATTTTGTAGCCAATCATGGTTTATCGGGCACATCTGTATTCGATTGTTATCTTTAACCTATAGTTGACATTCCTAAATTGTTATTTTTCTGTGAGTTTGACAGTAGTCGCAGAGGGTGATCAACTTGTATTGGTGCAATTTCGTGAGCGTGGCTTTGGCGTGAATGTTGGACGTTGCACCTCGTTATAAAAAACGATATATTATCTGTGTTTTTCCTTGGAAAAAGAAGGCTCTTATTTTAGGTTGTTTGGGGGAGACACTGAGACAGAACCGTCTCTTTTGGCACTTGGCACTGGATTTTCTTGGGTTTTGCATGATTATAATTTATACTTCTTTAGGGTTTGGGGTATCAAATGGCAGGCAAGTTAGCGACATCTTTGAAGCTACCAAGGTCGATGCCGGAAACCACCGCTCTTGGGTTTTGTATATTCTGCATTTTACTCAATTTTTGCGTTATTTGACTTTGAGAGTTTACCTATTGATTTTGAATTACAGTATTGCAATAGGTTTTTCAAACAAGCCTCTTTTTTGTTTTTTGTTTTTTTTTTTTAATTCAGTCAACGGGAAGAGGGGATCCGAAGTTGGAACTTCTCTCTCCAAACTCTCTCTCTCTAACTTGTGTTATAGTCCTAAAAAAATACCACAAGTAAAGTAACACAACACATGTATTTCTATCCTCACCTTTGTCCCCCCTTTGGCTCTCTAGCTTCATTTATCGGAATGGTTTGTTTTTAGAATGGAGGATTGCTGAAGTAGGAATCAGTCATCACCATCCAATGTTCTGAAGTTGCTGCAAGCCAACTTGCAAGACAAGCACACCACCTGTTTGATCAAATGTGTAGCTGAAACTTGGAAAGTGTTGGTTTATAACTCTGGCTCCAGGCCGTGGGTTCTTAATAACTTCGGCTTCCTTGCTGTGAGTTCTTTACTTGCTCCGGTATCTCTACTGTGAGTATTTGTGGGTTAGGTAGTTTTTCAAAATCTTGCCGTGAGCTTTTGTGGGTTGAACGGTCTTTCTGTTCAAAGTTCATATGGATATTGAGGAGGAGTTGATGGACAGCCTTAATATTACCTTTGAAGACAGTTTAGATTTGGAGGAAAGTTTTGACAACAACATCCATTTGGTGGGGAGACTAATTGCAGATAATGAACCTTCCCAAACGGTGGTAAAGGAGACTCTCAAGTCAGCTTGGAACAAAATGGGGGTGGTCAGGGTTCAAAGGGCCAAAGCAAATATATATGCCATCACAGTTGGAGATGAGCAGGTCGCCAAAAAAATTCTGGAAGGCAACCCCTGGTTTATCAGGGATTATACTTTTTCTGTGAAACTCTGGCCATCTTTTCACTCCCTTGACGACATTGAAGCGAATCGAGCTGCTTATTGGATACAGGCTCATGGGATACCCAGGAACTACTGTACAGTGAAAAATGCTAGAAGTCTGGGGGCAAAAATTGGAGCAGTTCTTGAAGTTGAAGATCCAGCAGAGGTGGGCTTTCGGGGTTTCTTGAGATTAAGAGTAGACTTTGATGCTTGTCGGCCATTGATTACATGCTGCTTAGTGTCATGCCCAGCTTGGGGCTCCTATACTATCCAATTCAAGTATGAAGGATTGAGAATTTTCTGCTACCAATGTGGGAGATTAGGCCACTCAAGTGCATGTCCTCGTCCGGCGCCACTGTCGATGGCGGGTGGAACTCGATTTAATGGTGATCTCCGGGCCGCACCTGCATCCAGGGCAAATTCTATGTTATTTCCACAAAGAAGGGGAGCAGCGACGACCGGGGCTCGTGAAAACCATTGGAGAAGAAAATGGGAACAATGTGATGGTCGTTTCTACGGCCTGCCGGACACGGAAATGGACATCCCGGCGAACAGCTACTTGTAACGTCGAAAGGCGGAGGAACAGGTCAACATGGCAACAACAAGTATTGACATGAGGCAGAATTGCACTGCAGTGACAGGTACGTCTGCAGGCCTGGTCTCCCACTCAAATCAGGAAAGGACACTACACCTGGCAGGGACAAACTCTGAGGCTGGGCATATTCCCAAATCGCGATTGGACACACGGCCTGATTACGGGCATATGTGGCATCCAGATAGTTATGGGACCCATTTTACAAACGGAACTCTTACTATAGCTGTTAACGGGCTCTCTCTGGAGAAAAACTGGTGTGACCCAAATAGGATTCCCCCATGGGCCTTTGAAAATGTTGATGGGCTGCTCCTGGCTGCGGAGGAGGTGCGGGCCAGGCCCACAAATTTTACTGTGAAGGATTGTTTCCCCCCAGGAACAATTATTTCGGATGTGAACGCCCAAAGCCTGGCAGCGGCGGCCCAGATGGTCCAGGCTTCAAACGTTGATGTTCAGAGTTAGGTGGATCCTAGTGTGAAAGCAATGGGGAATGGGGAAACTAACCAAGGCCCAATGGATGGGGTTAATACTCAACAAAAAGGAAATAAAAAAAAAGGGGGGAGAAATGATGTGGAGCTCCTTACTCCACAAACAAAAAAGCAAAAGACACTGAGATACCCTAACTACGGGCGCCCTTTACATCTCTCAAACCTGAAGAAGAAAAGCTCTAGACTTAGAGGAGGGAATCGAGGGGGGAGATCCACGGCGACCAGCTATGTTGACCTCGAGCAGCAGGAGGGCCAATGGTGCGAGGTGGTGGTCAGCCTTTCAAAGGAAATGGAAGAAGCAGAGAGATGCGGGTTGCTGGGTAGAGGAAGTGAAATAACAAGACTTGTATCATCGGTGGAGGCTGACGATGTTCAGCCCCGCCGACAGCCATGAATATACTAATCTGGAACTGCCGAGGGCTTGGGAACCCTCGGAAAGTTCAGGCATTGCAGGATATTATCCGGCAAAAAGTTCCCAAATTGGTTTTCCTATGTGAAACCAAGTGCAAGGCAGAGGTACTAAACGACTTGAGGGTGAAGCTGGGCTTTAGAAGAGTGTTCGGGGTTAGTTCAAATGGACAGTCAGGGGGTCTTGGTTTGTTTTGGACAGGGGACATAAACCTGAGAATCATTTCTTCATCAGAGAGATTTATTGATTCTGAAATAGGAACAATAGGCGATGCAGTTCATTGGAGATTCACTGGTTTTTACGGGCACCCGAGAACTGAGGAACGCCAAATGTCCTGGGATATTATGAGGCGATTGGCTGCGAGTTGCTCACTTCCATGGCTGATAGGAGGGGACTTCAATGAATTACTCGGTATCCACGAGAAAGAAGGGGGTCCAGTTCGTCCAGTAAACCAAATAATGGCTTTTCGGAATGCAGTGTGCGATTGCCATCTACATGATCTGGGGTTCTTGGGTACTCCTTACACCTGGGTTACTACTAGGTCAGGGGGTATCAAAGAACGGTTAGATAGGATGCTTGCAACTGATAGGTGGAAGGACTTATTCAGCAATGTTAAGGTCACCCACCTGGATCCTAGCAATTCTGACCATGTGCCTATTCTTCTAGAGGTAGATGGAACACATAGCCATGTTAGACGCAGAAGCAAACTATTTCGATTCGAAAATTTTTGGGCTGACCATGAGGATTGTGAAGATATTATCCGTAATGCTTGGAACCAGCCGGGTACTGGTGTGTTGATGTTTCAGATAGTGAACAAAATTAAAGCCACTAGAATAGCTCTACTGAAATGGCAACAATCAGTATTTAAAGGGAGGCGGGAGAAAATTAATGGTGTGCGTCAAAAGTTGGGATTCATACTTGCCCAGCCACTTACAGAAGAGGCTTTGGCTGAACGGCACCGACTAATGCAGCGGCTTGATCAACTCTTGGGTCAAGAGGAGAAGTATTGGAGGCAGAGATCACGCGCTTTATGGGTTAAAGCTGGCGACCGTAATACACGGTTCTTCCATCAACGTGCTAGGAACCGAAGGGCAAAGAACTCGATCAAACGGCTGAAAAATACAAGGGGCGCTTGGGTCTATGATGATGCGGGGATCGAAAGCACTGTGACTCAATATTTTCATGATATCTTCCAAACCACTGGGAATAATCAGGATGATGAAGTTATTGAGGCTGTGGATTCAAGGGTAACGGCAGAAATGAATCGCATGCTGGAAGGGGAAATTTCGGCTGAGGAAGTTCAAGAGGCGGTCTTTCAGATGCAGCCATCAAAGGCTCCGGGCCCCGACGGAATGAATCCTTTCTTTTTCCAGAAATTTTGGAATATCATTGGGGATGACATTACAAATGCGATTAAAAACTTCCAAGCATCAGGGAAATTGTTGAAGCAAATAAACTTTACATATGTCAGCCTCATTCCTAAAACAAAGCAACCAGAGGAAGTAGCTCAGTTTCAGCCCATCAGTCTATGCAATGTCCTGTTCAGAATCATTTCTAAGGTACTTGCGAATCGCCTTAAGGTATCCCCAACATCATCTCACAAACTCAAAGCGCCTTCGTGCCGGGTCGTAATATTTCTGATAATACCATTTTAGCATCAGAAGTTGCTAATTATCTGTTTAGACGGCGCCGAGGGAAGAAAGGTTTCGCGTCATTAAAACTAGATATAAGTAAGGCATACGATCGGATTGAGTGGGGGTACTTACATCGAATCCTTACTAAAATGGGCTTTTCTCAGACTTGGATCAAACTCATCATGCTCTGTGTGACTACGGTTTCATATTCTGTACTGGTGAATGGCTGTCCACGAGGGTATATCCTCCCGTCCCGTGGATTACGCCAGGGTGATCCTCTATCACCATATTTATTTATACTGTGTGCAGAGGGACTGTCAGCTTTGATCGCTCTACGGGAACGGCGGGGGCTGATAAATGGCATATCAATTTGCCCAGAAGCACCATCGATTAGTCATCTATTATTTGCAGATGATAGTCTGCTGTTCTGTCAAGCAACGGAGTCGGATTGCAGGCAAATACGGGAGGTCTTAAAGGTGTATGAACGTGCTTCGGGACAAAAAGTAAATCTTGAGAAAAGTGAGGCATGTTTTAGTCGAAATGTGAAGCGACCTGCGCAAATGAAGTTGGCCGAGATCTTTGGGGTGAACCGGGTAGATCGACATGACAAGTACTTGGGTATGCCAACGTTTGTGGGAAGGAACAAGAGCTTATGTTTTGGGAATCTTAAGGACCGCCTATGGAAGAGATTAAAGAGTTGGCAAGGAAAATTGCTAAGTGCCGCAGGGAAAGAGGTGTTGGTGAAGGCAGTGGCACAGGCAATTCCAAATTACTCTATGAGCTGTTTTCTGTTGCCTAAATTATTCTGTGACGAGCTAAATAAAATGGTTGCATCCTATTGGTGGAGTGGCGATGAAGGAGAAAAGAAAATGCATTGGTGCTCGTGGGAACGCCTGTGTAATCCAAAGATGGAAGGTGGACTTGGGTTTCGGTTCTTATATGCATTCAACTTGGGTATGTTAGCAAAGCAGGGGTGGAGATTGTTGGCTAATCCACAGTCTCTGGTTGCAACGGTCCTGAAGGAAAAATACTTTCCGACTAGCTCCTTTATGGAAGCTCCCTTGAAGCCGGGAGCATCGTATGTATGGAAAAGTATTTATATTGCTCGAAATGTGTTAAGTTTGGGTCTAAGATGGCAGGTGGATACTGGGCACTCTATTCGGATCTGGGAGGACCCTTGGATCCCCATCCCGCTTCGATTTCGCCCCTACTCTCCAAAACCGATGGGATGCACACTGACAATGGTGAATGAGTTGATTGATCATGTTGCAAAGTGTTGGAAGATTGATGTGCTTCAAAGTCTCTTCTCTGCAGAGGAGGTAAATCTGATCCGGAAAATCCCATTAAGTGTACGAAACTCGCCGGATCACTTGCTGTGGCACCATGAGAGACACGGAAGATTTACGGTCCGGTCGGCTTACCATGTGGCAAGGAATTGGCTACATCCCACAAACTGCGGGGCATCGTCCTCAAATGGAGATGGAGCTAAGGTTTGGGCGAAGGTATGGAATGCACAAGTACCAACAAAAGTCAAAATCTGCGTATGGAGACTTGCCAATGAATTGGTCCCTACTAGGGCCAATTTGGTGGCAAGACATATTACCATGGATGTGGAATGTGTATTGTGTGGAGCCTATGGTGAATCTACCATACATCTAATGAAGGATTGCCATTATGCAAGATGTGCGTGGATGAGCTCGCAGGTGGGTACACTTGTGAGAAATAATCACCCTCCTTCCTTTATGATATGGATCAATGAAGTGGCTGATCGTATACCCAAGGCAAGTTTTGATATTTTTATGATGGTTTGTTGGGCATTATGGAGGGCAAGGAACATGAAACTCTGGGAGGAAAAACTGGAACCTCCCGAGGTATGTACTGATCGAGCCATCCAATGGTGGCCGGAGTTTGCTAGGACCACCAATACAGGTTCGGAACAGGACTGTAGGCTGAGGAACACCCCCAGATGGAGCGTCCCACCACAGGGACGAATCAAGATGAACATTGATGGGTCCTGGAATGCAGGAAGACTCATTGCTGGTTTCGGGGCCATTATCAGAGACATCGATGGGTCTTTTGTGGCTGCTCGTGCTGGAAGATTTGAAGATATATCTTCCCCATTGCTCTCGGAAACTATGGCAGTAAGGGCAGGTTTGCTATGGGCGATTGACAGGGGTTATCAATCCCTTATTATTGAAACTGACTCACTTCAGATTGTGGAGGCGCTGAGAGATCCTACTCTTAATTTGTCAACCATTGGGCAAGTTGTGGAGGATTGCAAATCTCTGCTCAACACAATCACTGAAGCAAATATCACCCACATTCGTCATAATGCGAACGCTGCTGCTCATCACCTTGCAAAAGTTGGGCTATCTCTGATGCAAAGTTGCGAATGGACTGATTCTCCGCCTAGTATTATAACTGATATACTTGTGGATGACTATGCTTAGCTCCATGCTTAGAGAAGGATAAACTCTTGTAATGAATCTTTTGATGAAATGAAAACAACTATCGTATCTTTTCAAAAAAAAAAGAAAAAAAGAAAGAGAAGTATCACCGAAACAATGGCGAGTTGGGACCTCTTCTTGTGGCCTCCACGACTCCAATTTAGAGAACGATGATTAAAAAACGGGTGTTGAAATGCTACGGTTCTTCAGATGTTGAGATGGTGCAAATAGCAAAGAAAAAGAATGTTGAGAGTAGAAATTTAAAGGAATCCAATTAGAAAATGTTGTTTGCGAAAAGTTCTACAATGCTTTCAGTATGGCATGCACCGTATCAACAAGTGTTAATGCTTCAACAATGTCAAATATTTTGGTATATACTATACTAGGAAACTATATGTATAAAGAATTACACACATGAGCACAACTTATATCCAGCGTCAATGACACAATCACTCGGATAAAAATTTACACATTTTTAATTTATTAGCGCGGAATGTCATTGTGACGTTATACCTATGCATGGGGAAGAAAAATTTACATGAAACGAGTTTATTGTCATGTGGTATTCTTATCTAATAATGCATTATTATGTACAATTTTTTTCCACAAAACAATATTTCATTTAATCAAGATTCAAGCAACTGTAAATTTGTTCTATATAAATTGCTCCCGTCACGAGTAAGTGTAGTGGTATTCGTAACTTGATAGTTGATAATAGTGGTATTCCTAGCTTGATAGATGATAATGATAGAGTGAGTGAGTGAATGACAGAATGGGTGAGGAAAAGTGGAGCACGAAAAGGACAAGAGTACGTGGGAAGGACACAAATACAAGAATTTAAAACAAACAAACAAACAGCCGACACGGGAAATAGCGTCACGTCCAGGCCACGCATCGCCAAAGCCCAAGGCCAGGGCGTCTTGGTTCACTCGCCGAGAGTAGGGACGCTCCCAAAAGCTGGCTACTTTGTCTCCGCAGCCTTTGGCAATTGGCACCTTCGACGTAATGACTTAAAATCATTAATTTATGGATTTTTGAAAATAATTTACTCATTCATTAGTTAAATTTGATCAGAAATTATTTCAAAATTTAAAATTAAAATTAAATATAAATAGTACTTAATGAAAACTGATCATAAGATGTACGATAAACGATCATAATCACGAAATCCTTAGGATCCTCAGAAAAAGGATCCTGCGAGGATCCTTTTCTGTAAAATCAATAGCCCAACAAGTGCACAATTCATATTTCTCTCTTTCTTTTAACAGTATACATCCAGTAACATTAAATTTGTGTAGGTCACTTGTAGGCATAGTCTGAAATATCGATAATATCGACGAAATATCGAGGATATTTCGGTTTTTTCGAAACACGGATATTTCAGAACATATCCATGTACATATCGTACAAATATCGACAATATCGACGATAATATCGAAAAATATCGATGCAAAGGAAGGGGAAAAAAAAGAAAAAGAAGAAAAAATGCAAAGGAAGGGGAAAAAAAAAGAAAAAGAAGAAAAAAAAGGGAAAAAAAGGAGGAAAAAAAAAACACAAAGGGGATTTGAACCCCTCCCATTTTACTCCTCCAACACCGTAACCACCATATATCACTTATGTTTTAATGATAATATGCTAAAATATTTATATTTATATGAGTGGCATGTTAACAATTACATGTAAAACTATTTTGGGGATTTATCATTTGATGAATACTCTTCACAATAAACTTACTCTACACATAGAGATGATGAAGATAGTGAAAATTTTGAACCTCATAGGAACTTTATGTGGTACTAAATCACTCATGTATCTTACCATGCAATGTATAAAGTGTAAAATATTGTAGTAAATCATTATATATAAAAGATTATGGTGTGTTTAATCTTTTTTTCATTAATTACTACATTTTTGGTACACTCACAGTGTTTGCCAGCTCGTTGTATAATCAACTTAAATCAATTAAATCCATCATGTAATGCATTTCCTTCTAATTTTTTTTTTGGATAAACTAATAGATAATTGACTAAATAAACATTCTCCAAAGTTTCAATAAAAATTTCTAAGTTTTTCTTACAATTTCCGTGGTTTTTATTCAATTGTTATCGATATCGATAATATCTCGATATTTTCATGTTTTTAGACTACCGATAGTTCTGATATCATCGATATTTTATACCATGCTTGTAGGCTTAGGTGGTGATTGTTACATTATATTATTTTCGATTGGCTTAGGGGGTGATTGTTACATTATATTATTTTAGATTGGACTAGCTTTATAAATTAAGTTGAACTGACTTAAAATAAACTAAGCTGATCTCAATTAGTGAAGCGTTTGATGCAATGTTCAAATAAGAAACAAGATAATTAACAAACTTTAATTATATTATTTAATTCATATTTATTAATTTTGTTATTAATTCAATTTTTTTTTCCATAAACATCTGTCCCCTCTCCCTCTTTTTCTCCATCTTTTCCCGTCCAACTCCCTCTCGATTCCAATCTCTATTTCTCTCTACTCCCTCCCTTTCTCTCTGTAGCTGCGAGGATCCTGCGGCTCACGTTCAACGAGGACCTAAAACTCGATCCACCCAAGAAGCGTTTCGAGCAAGAAGATGTGGTTACATGGGATTTCAAGAAATTATGGTTGTAGACGACAGTGCAAAGTAGACACGAAGGGTTTGGCGAAGTAAATGACACGGTGTGAAGCAAACGCGAAGCATTTAGCAAGGTGGTCTTAGTAGCCCCCTACTTTTTGATGGATCTCACTAAGACCATGTAGTGAAGCATTTATATAACATGAGTTCAATTTTTTTTTTTTTTTGGGAAACTGGTAGATTAAAACCAGGGTAAAGATGCCAAATAGTGCAAGGAGAGCCTACAACGAGGCAAGCCAACAGTAAGAAAAAAGAAACAATGGGCAGTAGAGGGAGTTACAAGGAAGATGTAGTAACCAAGTTAGCGCGTCGCCCCCTCCACTGCCCTTGATACCTTAAGGAGGACAAGGTAAACCATCATTTTGAAGCACATGAACTAACAAAGATGGGGGTTTATTGATCCAAGTAACATCGCACATCTATGCACATATGTGTGATGCCAATGCATCCGCCACTATGTTGGCTGATCTTGGTATCCAAGACCAGCGACAGTCCTGGAAAGTTTCCCTTAGCCTTTTAGCTTTTAGTAAGGAAGGGTAAGCTTCCCATCTACTATTGCCGAGCGAGTCCGACAGAGAGGAAATGGACTCCTGGGAATCAAACTCCACGACAACCATTTGAAGCCCCAATGATAAACCAAGCTCACAACCTTTAAGGAGGGCCAATGCTTCAGCTGCACCCACACAAAGAGCACGAATATCGTACCTAATCGCTGCCACAAAAGATCCCTCGGCATCCCATAACATAATTCCAACGAAGACAGAGCGCGTCAGCTCTGACCAACTAGCATTAACATTGATTTTTGTATACAACATGGTAAGGGGGAACCACTTAGTCGATCGTCCAGCCACTGAAAGGATAGGAGTAGGTTGTGGATGCCTCTCACGTACAGCAGCACCAAATGCACCCGCCGAGTTTGTAATTGCACGTAGAACCTGTGTAGGGTTGATTGGACGCTGATTAAACAAAAGATTGCACCGAGCCTTCCATATATGCCAACACGTGAAGGCTACATACAAGAGCAAAGACGGCCGGTCACCACTGGCACCCACAAGCAGATTAGAGATTGAGTCGAACCACTCTATCTAACTGGAAACCCCATTCCTATTAATCTTAAAATTAAGTATCCCTCTACACCAGATGGGCTCCACCCATGGGCATAATAAGAATAGGTGTTCAATTGACTCCTCCTAGTTTTGGCATATCGGGCATATCAGGTTAGGGACAGATCGGCGTTTAAATAATTCCTCCATTATGGCCAGAGCTTAGTAGGGGGTATTCCACATGAAATTCTGAATTTTGGCTGGGGTTTATAGCTTACAAATGATCTTCCAAACCCGATCTGGGCTGGCTCGAGACGAAGAGAGGTGTTATGGCGTCGGGGGGCAGGCTCGAGCCTGAGCCCAAAGGTACCCAAATTTCATCGTGTAAAAGTCATTCTTGGTGATTGGCCAGATGAACCGGTCCCCACCCATTGAATCACCGATATAAGTATCATTGATAGCTTCCAGCTCCTCCATAAATATGAAGGGTTTGAGGGAATTTAGGTCATAGGTTCTAGAAATTGGGCATAGAAGAGTTTCCACCAGTGTATCCTTAGTAACCGACACCGCTCCCCTTGGAATGGGGTGGCTCGAAGGGAGGGAAGGGAGCCATCTGTCTACCCAAATCCGTACATGTCGCCTATCCATGATTTGCCAATGCGCCCCCTTTAAAAGTATATCTCTACCCACAAGTAAATTGGTTCATGCCCAAGATGCATGGCTTCCCCATTAGGCGTCAAGAAAAGAACAATGTGGGAAGTACCTAGCCTTGAGAACTAAAGCCCATAGCAAATTTGGCTCCATTATCAACCTCCAACATTGCTTGGCAAGGAGAGCATCATTAAAATTTTTAAAGCTCCTAAAACCCATGCCTTCTTCTTGTTTCGGGTGGCCTAGCAAATTTTTTTAGACCCAACGAATTTTTCTTTCTCCATTTTTCTGACCCCACCAGAACCCTGAAATCATGGAATCCAACTCGTTGCATATTCCATTCGGAAATTTAAATAAGTTCATCGGGGTATGCAGGAATAACCTGAGCGATAGCTTTTATCATGACCTCTTTGCCAACTTAGGATAAGGTGCACTGCTTCCATCGTTGGATTTTCCCCATCATTCTACCTTTCATATAGGCAAGGCCACGACTCTTATATCGGCCCCAAATAGCTAGAACCTCACAGGTAAGTCCTCGAATCAGACACCACCGGTATACCAAGAATATTCCCCAGCTCATCTGAAACTACCGTTGGGGTGTTAGCACTAAAGAACACACACGATTTTTGCAAGTTTACCACCTGACTCGAAGCTGAGCAATAGGCCTTAATGAGTCAGCCCAAATTGTGGCAGTTCACCTATCAGCCTTTAAGAATATTAGGGTGTCATCAACAAATAAGATATGGGATATGGATGGGCCATGAGGGCTCATCCATACTCCATGCAATTGCTTAGTCTTAGTAGCTATGCTAATCATCTTAGACAGGACTTCACTAACCATCAGAAACAAGTACGGAGATAGCGGGTCACCTTGCCGTAGTCCTCTCAAAGGGGTAAATTTGTTGCCCGGAAGACCGTTGGGAATCACAGCAAAATTAATCGAGCTCATGCACCCCATAATAAGCCACCGCCAGCTGGGATGAAACCCCATCTTATCCATTACCGCATCTAGGAAGTCCCATTTCACTCGGTCATAGGCTTTGTGCATATCAAGCTTTATGCCAAGTTTGAACTTATATTTGGTTTTTCTGAGCTTAAGGAAGTGGAATAGCTCATGTGCAATCCCGATGTTGTCCTGAATTTGTCATCCCCCAACAAACGCGTTTTGCATGGGAGAACTAATTCTCGGGAGTAAAGGCTTTAGTCTATTAGTTAAAACCTTGGAAAGCACCTTGTAAGAAAAGTTACATAAACTTATAGGCCGAAATTAAGAGACTGACGTCGGGTTCGGAACCTTTGGGAATCCTTATTCGCACCAAATGCAAACTGAGAATCCTAGGTAATCCAGTCTAATGAAGCTTAGTGATGGCAAACAAATGTACCCTTAGATAGAAATTTCACACCCTATGGACAAATAGTTTAAAATATTGCCTTATAGAAAAACATACAAAATAATTGAGTAAAAAACAATATTTATGATCTTAAAACATATCAAATTGTCGTGAGTGTGGATGCAAATTTCCGTCTTCTTCTCCTTTGAGGAAAATGCACCTGCTAAATAATAACACATAAGATCAAGGCCAACAGCCTCACGCGCCCACGATAAATTAGGGGGGGGCTTTGGCCGAAGAATCTCTGATGCCAAAGTTAGAATTTGAGAGAGAAAATGTTTAGAGAATTTTAGGGAGAGAATGAACTTGCATTTTGGTGTGAAGATGGGGCTATATATATATATATATATATATATAGGGGTGTGGCCCTATTTGGTTGTATTTTGAATATAATCGCAAGATATTATGTCAATTTGAAAAGAATACCTTGTGGGTGAGGATTTGATGAGGAGTGATGAGAGGGTTTTGAATAAATACCATTTTGATTACCTTTGACCTTGACTGAGCTGTTATTGTTTGTTGCATGCACGTGGGAATCCCGGTGTGCCTCAAGGGTAATTTTGTCCTTTTCACCCAAAAGTTCATGTGTCACCTCCATAATTTTCTTGATTATTTTTTACTCCACAAATGCCCCTACACCTGTTGGGCTGCTTGCAGGAAAGGGCAACAGGTGTAAAGATATTCTCTTGCTTTAGGAAACATAAGATTGTTTCGAATTTATTCTACCCTACAAGAGAGTGAAAGCTAGAGGATATTTGTTCCCCCTCCCCTGTAACACTTATATATATATATATATATATATATATATATATATATATATATATTATAGGAGTAACATTATTTTAGTTAAAAAAAACACAGACCAAACAAATAGTCAACGATGAGCTAACATAACGCTTCTTCTTCTTCCCAACCATCACATGGTGGGGGAGCCAAGGGAATCATATTTTGTCCATAAATGTTGGGGTGATGTGGGTAGTCTAGGGGGTGTGAGTAAGCATTCTAAATCTGGAGAGGTAATGATAGGCTTAGAGGGAGTATTTCTAAATTTTCACTGAAGAATTAGAGGAGAGTGCGAGGTTTTGGAAAGGGAAAAGTAAGAAATCGAAAGAGGGAAGCTGATAGGGTGTTGGTGTATTCTTCAATTTGTACAAAAGGCCTGGGAGTGACTCCGGACACTTCGGAGGCTTAGAGAGGTATTATAGTTAGCTGGACAAGAGGTAGGGGCTCTATTTCCGATGATAGATCTATATCATGGTTAATCTTTGTGATATTAGTAATTATATCTAATACAGTAGTAATGAAATGCTTGGGTGAAATAGAATCAATTGATTGTCATGGTTGTGTTTAGGGTTAATGGTTTCTTTTTCGGTGTATTATATATATTGACTATGTTAAATGTTGTTATGTTTGATGAATGGTTGAGTTATGTAAAATTGTTGGACTGACTACGTTGAGGGTTACAATTATGTTTGTTAAATTGAATTGCTCGTGTTGCATTACATGTTACAGAGTTAAGTGTTGGGTTGTGTAAACTTGGTTAAGCAAAGTGTTGAAAACTTATATATGTTCAAGCGTAGGGTAAAGGGCTTGAATGTATAGTTGGGCGTCGGGGGAAGGGCCCATGTTAATGAAACTGAAATTACTAATAAAATTAGGGGTTAAGGGAGGAATGGGAGTTAATTTATATTTTATGGTATTCGGAACCAAGGGGTATAAGCATGGTATGGGACGTGTAGGTTTGGATGCCATAAATATAAGTTAGCGAGATTAGAAGGGAGTGAGTTCATGTGTACTTCTTTGTCATATTATTTGTATTTTTACCATATTGTTTAAGGCTTGCTACTTTGATTAATTATGGTAAATGAACTTGAAGGACATATGGTTCCTACTGAGCATGAAATGCTCACACCCTATTAGTTATTGCAGGTACCGGTATGGAGGAACAAGATGATGACCTGTCTCTATATGAATAAACATATCCTATGTGTGTGCTGGTTTCCTAGTTGTACTTTAAATAACGTGTTCTAGTATTTCAAGAGTGTGTTGTAAGAGTTGAACTCTTTAAACTCATGATGTATTAAATAAACAGGTCTAAGTGAACTTTTAGTTGGCTCTGGTTCCATCATACTCTCGTTGTAATATTTTAATTTATTTTAAATTCTATTCACACCCTAATTTGATTATCATTCTTATTTTTGAATTTGGGGTGTGACATCCCCTAACAATCTTCTACACTTGCCCGTGCAAAGGACCGCCTTTCCTTGCTTTCTTCGTCTTCTCCGCGCCGCACTGAGGTAAGAAAAGTTTAATTTTCCTTGTCTTCTTAGATAGTGATGTCGAGGGGCAAACGTTGGGATGGTGTAGCACGTTGACTGCCAGGGGCCAGGAGTCAGCTCGGCATGGGCCAAAGAGTGTTGTGGCAAGGACCACTGCTTTGGTTACTGATGCGAAAATTACTTAACACACAAATTAAACCCTCTTGTATCAATTGTAGTAAAGAATGTAAGTAGGGATCGTTCTGGACCGGGGATTAGGAGGGCTTGCTAATAACCTCTAAACTGACTTAAAAACATAAAATTAAGTTTAAAACACCAAACTAGACTCAAAAGATGCAATACAAACTAAAAAGACTCAAAACTAGTTTAAAAGACTCAAAACAGCTTAAAACAATGAATTAGACTCTAAACTGACTCTAGGGATGGTTTTGGATGAAATTAGGTTCTAACTTGACTCAAGACACTTAAAAACACAAATCAAAACAGATTTTGACTAATAAAACACTTTAAAGTAAAGGGGGATTTGATTTTGACGAATTTGAAAACAAAACAAACAGATTGTAAACTAAAATAGATTTTGGACGAATTTGGGTAAACTATGGATGATGGGCTAGCTAGAGGGTCATTCTACACACATGACACACTTGCACATAAACCAATTTTCAGTTGTTCTTTCGATAAATCATGAAACTCAACACCCCAGGTTAATTAAGTCCGCTTAAATTAACCTTCAAGTTCTTCTTCAGTTATTGAATTGGATGGGAAAGCGCATACAACAATTCAAGCATTCTTCAAAAGTCCTTTTTGTGAACAGCACAATAAAGATACAATCAAAGATCATTAAGCATTATGAAAACTATAAGTATTGACGAGGCATTCATTACTATGATGAGCATGAAACACCTGCCAAGAATTCATTTAACGCAATCGTTTATAAGCGACCTCCACTGCTTGTGAATATAAGTTTGTAACTATTAGGTGAAACTCCCTTATACTCTAGCATCATATTCATGCATGCAAACTAAGTGTGCACTCTTAATAAACATACACGAATAAGTTATCAATCAAGCAGTTAAACAAATTGAATTCACAACTGAAGGTAATCAATTCATATTGCAAGTATGTCATGGCTTTGAATTCCCCCTTAGCTAAGGGG